TTCTATATTAGTTTTATAAGTCATAAACACAAGTGAATGATCGCTAATAGATATGTGGTTAACGCCGAATTTTATTATTTTTTGATGGTACATTTGTGAAACATAGATCAATCAAGGTTTGAGAACAATTAGTAATTCTTGTAGGTTCGTTTATTAGCTGATCCATACCATAAATATCTAGTATGGAATTCAGTTTTACAGCATTGGCCGAGATCGGTTCATGCATAAGATCTATGTTAATGTCACCTAATATACACATCTCTTGATTATCTGAGTCCAGCTTTCCAATAATATTTTCAAAATCATCTAGATAACTAATTGGAGAGTTTGGTGGTCTATACCATGTGCCAAGAATCAACGATTTTGACCGTGGTTTGGTAATTTCTATTATAAGACATTCTAATGTACTACTTAGGTTCCTGTGGTGGCTAACAAACCTTTCGTGAAAATATTTATCCCCCGTCATATACCCCACGAGGAGTTTTCGCGAACTTTGCGCGTGACTTTTAAATTACTTCTTTTGGATTTTGACAGGACAAGCATTACGGGAAGTTTTATCCTTTCAAGTACAACTAATGTTTTCAGTTTTTGGATTCGGACTATTGTAGAATGACGTACTCTTGGATGTCGTCATTTAAATGCATAGTAAGTCGAAGAAATAGCATTTATTGGGCAGAGAAACAGCGAGCCATTGTAATGGCCCCATATTTCACGAAATATCGAAGGACACAATATCGAAGATAAAATACACTGCACTGTTTCAAAAGTTTGTGAAACTTGGTTGAAATCTTCGTTAGCCACTTGTGATTATGAAAGGTACAACAACTGGATGATCTTTGCGAGACTCGGCGATAAAAAGCAAACAAGGCGGGAGAAAATGGCGGAAATCGTGTTTTCGATGGGGAGTAAGTGAAATAAAATTTGGTATATTTAAAAAAAACAATGACAATCCCTATGAAATCCTCAGTAATTATATTAAATTAAGCAAAGTTTTTCATCCCATAATAATTTTTATCCGGAGATAAGAATTGACCGACGAAAAATTCGTTGGCTCGAGCGGGATTTGAACTCGCATCTTTTGAACTTAGAGGACGCGCAGTGTTTCAATTATATTTCAGAACCATCCTCAGAGATACGAAAAACTGGTTTCATATTAATCTAAGACATGCGTTAAGTCGTCACGAAAATATTTCGGGCACTTAAATTGGATAAGACTCACTACCAATCCCTGTTGACTCGATACCTCAATAGGTAGAGCGAGGGTCTAGATACCCGAAGATGCGAGTTCAATTCCGGCTCGAGCCAACGAATTTTTCGTTGGACAATTGCAGTGTCAGATTAATATGAAACCAATGTTCGATATATATCTGATATTTTGTAATATTAACAGGACTAGAAAACGATTCCTTTGTTCTATTGAGGTACTTGTACCTTGTACGGATTAATTGTTGTGACGCAGATCCGTTGCCAGACTGAAAACACCCTCGGGCAGATAGAATATTCTAGAACATATTACTCCATTAACCGCAATTTACAGCTTTGCTTAAATTGATTATTTTATAAAATAATGCGAGATCAAAGGAATTAATAATTGAACGTAGCCTACATTTTTAACATAAAGTTAAGCATTAGATATTATCGGTTTAACAGCACAAAATAAATTACCATTGAGAACAAAATAATGGAACTATACATACTATCGAGAAATGAAATGCTAACTCTGCAGCAAGATGTCAGTTTAGGATACAACTGCAGCACCTCTTCGGTAGCGACTTTAAAATAGAAGCTAATCCTTAAACAATATTCTGAAACCAACCTTGACAATAAGTCCCGTTTCCTGAGAAGCCAGATTTACAAGAACAAATAAATGAACCGTCAGTATCAATGCATGTAGCGTTATAATGGCAGTTGTGAGATCTGTCCACACATTCATCAATATCTGAAAAGTTTTAATTGACGAATAAACTCATGAGCTACATTGCAATACTGTTTATAAAATAATTTGAGATCAAAGCAATTAATACTTGAATGTAGCCTACATTTTTAACATAATGTTAAAAATTGGATCGATATTATCGATTTAAAAGCACAAAATAAATTGTCATTCAAAACAAAATAATGAAACTATACATGCTATCGGAAAATGAAGTGCTAACTCAGAAGGAGGGACACTTCAATTAACAGAATCACGGCCAGATAAAATAAAATAGAACGCAGTTTAGCATGCAACTGCAGCACCTCTTCGGTAGCGACTTTAAAATAGAAGCTAATCTTTAAACCTGCGAACCCGCAAAGTCAATCCACCATCCTAATATCGCTTTCACAGTCCACTTACTTTCACAGCTTGTACACTGTAAATCTGGGAGTGTTACCACAACACCGAAATCGGTGTAAATTCTTGCAGCTGTGTGGACACCGATTTAGTGTTTACTTACACTCATTTTGGTGTTAAAATACACCTTTCAGTGTTAAATAGATGCAGCTGTGTGAACACCGAATTGGTGTAAATCTACACTACGAGTGTAAAATAACACCTCCGAAGATCTTTTCACACTCTTTTGGTGTAAATAGCTTGCAGCTGTGTGAACACCGATTTGGTGTAAATCTACACTACGAGCGTAAAATAACACCTCCGAAAGTATTTTTACACTGTTTTGGTGTAAATAGCTTGCAGCTGTGTGGACACCGATTTCGTGTAAATCTACACTACGAGCGTAAAATAACACCTCCGGAGATATTTTTACACTGTTTTGGTGTAAATAGCTTGCAGCTGTGTGGACACCGATTTCGTGTAAATCTACACTACGAACGTAAAATAACACCTCCGAAGATATTTTTACACTGTTTTGGTGTAAATAGCTTGCAGCTGTGTGGAACACCGATTTGGTGTAAATCTACACTACGAGCGTAAAATAACACCTCCGAAGATATTTTTACACTGTTTTGGTGTAAATAGCTTGCAGCTGTGTGGACACCGATTTCGTGTAAATCTACACTACGAACGTAAAATAACACCTCCGAAGATACTTTTACACTGTTTGGTGTAAATAGCTTGCAGCTGTGTGGACACCGATTTCGTGTAAATCTACACTACGAACGTAAAATAACACCTCCGAAGATATTTTTACACTGATTTGGTGTAAATAGCTTGCAGCTGTGTGGACACCGATTTCGTGTAAATCTACACTACGAGCGTAAAATAACATTTCCGAAGATACTTTTACGCTGTTTTGGTGTAAAGCACCTTGCAGCTGTGTGGACACCAACTGGTGTTAATCTACACTACGAGCGTAAACTAACACCTCCAAAGGTCTTTTTACACTGCCTTATGTACTTACTGAATACAGCTGTACTGATATGGTTTGTGATGTAAATGTACATCCAATTGATGTCTAAAGTAGCTATATTCAATATAAACTTAATGTAATGTAAAAATACCTTTTTGTATAAACGCTGCTTAAGATTGTATGTTATTAACTCAATTTAACTGAATTACTAAATTAAAACAATGAAGAGAATAGAAAGTACAAATGTAAATTATATATTTTTAGAGTTTAAAACTATAGTCTATGTTACATATTTCGATTCAGTTGAATCATTTCAACATAGTTTATATCAGTCACAATCTAAATTAAAGTTCATATTACCAGTACAGGCGATTTGAAACCAATAGAATCTTTGCTGAATGGCACTTTGACACAGTCGAAGAAGAACACATCACTATATTGTAGCGCACAAAATCTACAAAGGTTTTGGTGTGCAACTGTCCTTCGTTAAACATTAATGGCCAGCAGGTTCCCTTGAAAGATAATTATTTTGCATTAGAGATTATTATAAAGAGTGCCCTGTACCTTTTGTGGGTTTATGAGAAAGTATCAAACAACTTATAGAACAAACCCAATCTAATTTTTTGTTGGTGACATGTCAGAGTAAATATTTGAGATTTGGGTGGAAAATCTGGCTAAACTATCAACAAGTAACACTTTTTAGGGCAAGTCGAGTGGTTTAGGGCATAGTATGATTTAAACAAGGCACATTGGCAGAGAGACCGTTTAAAACCAATTAACCAGAGGAGTAAACTTTTCTGGGATTAACATTTTTAGTCACAGTAAATAATAAACATAGTACATGTATATTTGGGCACTTTAAGTTTAATTCACTGTGAAGTTCTTTTGTATCATTTCAAATCAATATATTATAAAAAGCATCACTTTATACACAGTTTATATCTTAATTGTGTAAACGTTCTCTGGTTAAAAGATTTATTTATTACAAGCTTTCGACTGCCAGTCTGCAGTCTTTGACGGGTCTCTGTCTGCAGACTGGCAGTCGAACGCTTGTAATAAATAAATCTTTTTAACCAGAGAATCCTGGTTTCGCTTCCAACATTTTTAAAGTTTATATCTTATTTTATATATCCTACATATATTTTATAATCACTCTATATCCAGTATTTGGCCAGATAATCTGGTAGGATATTTTCCATCCGTTCGGCATATATGGTATTCGGCTGGATAGTAAAATGTTCTATCAGGTGCATCCCTAATGCATAATAATTTCATTCTCATGGTAGCGGCAAGGAAATAATTAACACACAACTCTAAAGTTGCAATGACATACAATATGAAGTAACTGAAGCACATTTAAATTCAACCAGTTCTAGCTTGCTGCACATGTGTCTCAGGGTCTGTTATACAATGCCAGCTTTTCCCTTTCAGAACATGCCCTCCTGTGCCAATTTGTCTACAGTCCAAGTAAAATTTGTAGATAATCCTAACTAATTACCCCAAAACCTCATTAGCATAAGTCAATATTTTTATTAAAGTTATACACTTGTCTTTTTTAAACTTTTTTCTCAGTCACAATGAGGGCTACCTTTAGGAAATACCTGGTTGCCAGATAAAACAATTGGTCACAATTGACGTTCACCTGGCATTTGGTCATTTCTAGGGCTGCACCAGATAGACATCTTTGACATCCAGCCAGATTTCAGCTATGTCGGATAGTTGAAAGAAAGATATCCGCATTAGGGAAAGTACATTTATTACACCGAGGGAGGGGGATGAAGATGTCTTGAAAAAAGCTCATATTTTTACAGGGCCCCTGTTGAGGTTATCGATAAATTTCGATGCCCCCCCTCCAAGTTTTTAAAATTTTCAATGCCCCCCCCCCTCTAGAATTTGGAATCGAAGGAGTACAATCCGGAATTCTCTCTTATCATAGATACAATTTGCAGTTCCTCAAGATGTCTGATATACTCAAGCATGTGCTTCTCCTCAACAAAACTACCGATCTGCTGCTTTCACCTCACTAGCGCCAGATGAAATGGCACCGTCTTTAAAACATTTTAAATTGGCTCTAGGGGTGAAATTATCAACAGGTTGTTGTTGTCCATCATTCAGCGTATTCGGAGTCTTGAACACGTTCATATAGTGGTCAGGATTTCCTGGATCAGGGTAATGTGCTGGAACCTTACAGTATGTCGCCCCCACCCAACGTATCTCCCGGCATCTGTTGCAAATGTCTTTGTATGCCTGTCAAAAATGCATGCAAAAGTGGCCAGTATGCTTCAATTTCTTTAATTTCCATCCCGTTTGTACGAAATATTCCATAAACATAGAACATATCATTCTTGCAAATCGTATATATGCTTTTTTGTTTTTGGAACTGCTACTTTTTGGCGCGTAAATTATTTCACAAACCTGGCGCCAAAAAATTTAAAATAAGCTATAGGTGATTTCATGTATCCATTTAAAAGAGCAGACTAAGGATATCTTAAAACTGAAATCGGTTTCGAATACAACCATCAGGGACGTAGCAAAGCATCTGACGTTTGGGGGGGGGGGGGATGTCAGAGGATTATACGTGTAATAATTATAATAAAGCTTTTTGTGATTGATTGGCACTCTCATACTAAGTTTTGGGAGAAACGGGGGGTCTGGGGGTCCTCCCCCCAAAAATTTTTTACATTTTTGAAGCTCTAGGACTGAATTTCTGGTGTTTTCTAAAGCAAATTTTGCAAACAACTTGCATGTAAATTGACTGTATTTTACAAAAATGGTTATCATTTCACAAAAATAATTACTTTATTACAAATTTTACCTGAAAATGTAAAAATTTTAACTTTAATTTGCTGGGGTCAAACCTTTGAAAAGTTTAGAGCCCCCCCTTCAGTATATCAAGAACTTTCAGAGCCCCCCCTTTAATGCCAGAAAATATTTCGGAGCCCCCCCTTAACATCTTCATCCCCCCCTCGGCATAATAAATGTACTTTCCCTAAATGCCTATAAATGCCATATAATAAACTTTTTATTAACCTCTCTTGCTCGGTATGTACAGAGAAATATCGGACTTCGGTCTTTTTGTACAAACCTCGCCCTATGGGTTCGTGTTCGGACAAAAAAGACCTCGCCTGTACAGACCTCGCGTTTGGTTAATAAGAAGTTATTAAATAGTTCAATATAATAGTTCAATAATACGTATCAAACGAAGATCAGAGTTGATGACAGTTGGTAGTCATGAACTCTTACAGGGGACCGTTCAAGTTCTAAATTAACAAAATACAGCATTGATGAGTGGTGACAATTGTTGATATAACTAAAACACAGAAAAAATTTATAAATAACTATAAAAGTGACAAGGTATAAGAAGACCTAAAATTTCAAACTATTATACCTATAATCGAAATCGGCGTTCTGTACGAATTTTGGGAGACTAGAAAAGTTCGAATTTTCCTAAACATGGCTATAAAAATATCACAATTCGTTGTAAGTGCTTAAATAGTGTGTGCACCATACAGTAGCGAAAACAAACACTTCACACACATCCCCTATATACGCATCAACCTGTTTAAGATAATGCATATGCATGGTAAAACAATAGCAACACAAAATAATTAACACTGTGACCTTGCGCAATGTACACAATGGCATAGAACAAAGAAATTTTATAAGTTTCCTATTTCGAATCTCGTTTATTTGCAGAACAAGCACAAACAGGACCCATACAAATACCTTGTTTACTAGTAAGATAAGCTGCGTGACTCTGCCCATAAACTGTGCAATTCAAATCCTTGACGATACATACTCAAAGACATACTGTATGGCCAATTAGCCTACTGCATGAGTCTGAGCACTGATTTTTTTAAATCTTCTGACCTTCCCAAAGCCAGTTCTACTTCCTCTATTAGAATTCCAAGATTGCATGCCACCATGCACCCTATATATAGCTCCACAAGGAACGATTTGTGCTTTGCCGACAATTGTTGTGACGGTCTTGAAGCGGCTTCAGAACATCTTTACTCCGCCTTGAAAGCCCATTCGACTCTCAACAGTTTTGACATTCTTTCATCAAAATGTCAGAACGAAATAATATGGAATAAAGTAAGAACAAAATTAAATGATAAGTAGATCTTATATGCATAATGATGTCACAAGGCGTGATGCGCGTTTCTGGTTTAATAGTAGACATGACATGACGGGAAAACAATCCAACATGGCTACTGTCATAGGTGAGTGTGCTGCTGTTCTTTGTTGTCTTTTGGAGGCTGCTGAAACCAGTGAAGAACCTAGTTCTTTTCAGAACTCTTGCACAGGTTTTCAGAGGTTTGATAGCCCTGAAAGTAAAACGGCAACAGTACACTTTTATCCACCGGTCCACTGGTCCAGTATACGGGTAAAAGAAGTGGCGGTTTTACGTGTTCTGTTCCTGGTTATTTTTTACCACAATAAATATATAATTTTCCATATATTGAAAGTGTGGAATCAAAAGAACTCCATAGACCTTATTCATAAATCGTGATCGAGGCCTCATATCCTAGGATATGGGAAAAAACACGGGAAAGTTGACAAAATGTTTTTTTGCTGTCGGCTGTGGGCCGCTGTGGCAGCTTCTTTTCGAAAATATTAGGGACCGTTCATTATTTATGCCTGGGGTTGGTACCGAAGAGAAACAAAAAATAGTGCAAATATTTTTTTTACCCAACCTCGGCATGGCTAAAAAAAATTTTTACCCAACCTCTGTTTAATGTTTCCTAAAAGCACAAAACAAGTCTTAGTAAGTGACAAATTTAACTTTATTAGACCTTTTTATTCCATAAATGCAAGTCTCCATGAGCCAGCTTGCCGACCGGACCTTGTGGCTACCACTAGATTGTCATTGAAAATATTGTCTTGTTCCTGAATTTCCTCGTTACTTTCATCGTCGAAGTCATAAAAGACAAGGTCATTGTCACTATCACCATCGACGTCGTCATCACTGTTTGTAATGTCATTTTCCCTGTCTTGCACATCTGGGATTTCTTCATTATGCTGTCTCGATTCTTCGATTGCTCTATTTATATTGTCATTTGCCTGTCTTCTTAGTATGTCAGCAGTAACTGCCCTAACTTTGTCTTTCTTGCTGCACTTCTTATGTAAGTTATGTCTGTCCAGGTATCTGTCCAGCTCCAGGACTAACAATCCGTTAATCTTGCCAGAGATAACTAGTTCAAGCCAGTCATAATCCTCGTACTTTGCATTTATTTTTCTTTCTTTGTTCACCGCCTTTGTACGTTGTCTTCTCTCTTTATTTATTGACAAGTCCTTCAAGTGATCTACGCAAGAAATAACACACGCTTCATCAATAGCAAGTTTTGTAGCAGTTTCTTCAATGACTTCCTTGTCATCCAATGAAATCTCTCCTTTATTGAATAAAGATGTGACGAATACGCGAGGCTGGTAATCATCTACCTCTCTCATGTTACCATCGCTGTCATGTAATGGAGTAACTGAAACTGGCATGTAATGCCCAGGGTTGCTTTCATCTGGTTTAGGTTGAGGGATACGTTCTGCAGGTGGACCAATCCATGCATGCGAGGCACAATATTCACAGGTGGAATCTTTCTCCTTCGTACAAGCATGTTTAATATATTCCATAAACAGTTCTCCCACACGATAATGTTGCTTCAAAAATAGTAGGATTTTCTCTATATACCCAGAACCTGGTACTGCTTTCTTTTTCTCCTCTGTTTCTTTTTCTCCTCTGGTATTCCATGAGCAAATCTTTATTGAAGAAAAATAATTGATCCACTGTAACTGATAATTTGGCATTTATGTATTCACCGAGAACAGGTGCACCATCAATTCTCTTTACCAATTCACTGGCGACAATCCATGCATTTTTTGCCATTCGCTCCTTTTCATAATCTTCAAATTCTTTAACAGACATCATGGACACCTCTTCATCAGTCATGTCATCATATCTCTTAATTGTCTCCCATTCGATAGTGGCCCCATCGACGATTGAATCCGCTATAGCTGAATTTGTCCTCTCCGCTTCCCCCTGGCCACTATCACCTCTTGACCTGTGCACGCGCACCCTATAATCAGAACTGTACATTCTTGCCAATTCTGCATCGCGAAATTTAACTTCAAAGTTTGATACACCAACACCTGGCCCTGCATCAGTTAAATAAGCTACTCTTGGTTTTACCGGGGGAAATTCACAGTCCTCAATAATATGTAGCACGGTTAAACACAATTCCTTCTGTTGCAGGCAGAGCTCTTTCAAAGGTGGAATGTTTATGTCTTCTGAGATGTCATCAAATTTACTTAGTATGTTTTTCACTGCTGGTCTTATCCTTGCATCAAAAAGGGCTTTTTCTTGGACAGCAAAGTCATTCTCCATCTCTTGAACTTTATCAAGTGTGGACTTTAGCTTATCATTTAATCTTCTTAATCGTTGATGCTCATATTCCGCGTAGCGTTGTGTCGCATTATCCGCATCATTCATCAGCTTTTCAAGGTCTTCATCAGTTGTCATATCATAATACTGGTACGAATAGTCATGGATCATTGAACAGCAAGAGGTGAATGATTCTGTGTATTTTGCTGACTCTAGTTTGTCTTCATCCACTTGAAATATTCTCGGGTTTTCTTGTCGTAACTCAACCATTTCACTGGCCCAGACTGTGCCGGATGATCCAACGAGAGCTTTTGGTCTTACAAATACTGTGTGGTGATCAACGGCATTTATGAGCTTCTCACAACCATCTTTATCCTTCACACTTTCCTTTGTCATTACTTTGTGTGAACCAGGAGTTTGATACACATACTTTTCAGGCCAATCATATTTAGGCAATTTCTTAGCTTTGGTTGCATCTGACAGTGTCAAAATCCTTTGGTTACGTGCACTTGAAAAGCCTTCGCTTGTGCCGGGGCGAATATATGCTTTGTCGTCTATACTATGCAAAAGGGAATAATCTTTTGCCTCTCCTGACTCTTCTGAAAACATGGACATTTTAATGTTTTTTACATGTGCTCTCTGGTAATGAGTGTTTTCATTATCCTTGTCCTCTGCCTTAGGTGGCTTCTTGAAGCACATTAATCCTTTGCCAATGTGTCGAGATGCTTGAATTGACCGTGAATTTTTTGGTTTGCACCGATTGTATACAGTAGAAGCAGATTTTATTAATTTTTTTCCTGCTTTCTGAAGCCTGTGATTCGCAATATTCAGAAGATCCCGGGACTTAACCCTACGGTTGGTATACATGACTAAGTTCTGGCGTCTTCCATGGTAGGTAGCCTTGTCTTCAACACATTTCGCTAAAAACTCTTCATCTTCGTCATCTAATTTTCTTGGAGCCCCTTGTTCACCAATTTTTCTGCGTTTTATATGTTGCTGTTCAATAAGCTGGGTGGCTTTTCGTTTTCTCATCTGCTGAAAACGTTGCCTGTTCTTTGCATCCTCAGAGTTACACAAGTTGTCAATATCACAGATTCTCTCTTGTAGTTGATTACTTTCAGATTCCATGTCATCAATGATATAGGAAGGCCAAATGCCTTTCTTTAGCTCAATTAACTTTTGCTTCTGGTGCAGCTGCTTTTTCAAACTATCCTTCTTTTCATTCAAATGTTGCTTTACAAGTTCAGAAGCCGCTTCATTCGCAGATGTCATTTCATCTATGGAACTTACAACCTACAGTACACAAATGTAGCTATATAAAATGTTGCTTTAAAATCTTCTGTTATGCAGCTGGTTAGTTCATCTGCAGATATTCTCATTTATAGAATGCCACAAATACTGCAGCTAGCAACTTTATTTATATAATAAGATAGGTTTGTATAGGAAATTACACGGTTCGAGAAGTATTAATGAAAAATTGCACGCGTGTTTGGCGGAATACCGCGAGTGCGATTTCGCCAAACACAAATGCAATTTTTCATTAATACTTCGAGAACAAGTGTAATTTCCTATTAATATCGTTGTAGTACACATTCAGTAAACATTTAGTACATTTCCAGTGTTAAAAGTTGAAAATAAATGACAAAAAACCGAAGCATTGTTTTAATATTGTTCATATATTCATCGCGGGCTCGGAACCTTTGTAATTAATGTTTAATTCTCGCAGTTCTGAATCGATCTTAGCCAATCAGCGTCCGAAAACCAGTGATTTAGATCAGTGGCCATCAGGCATTCGCGCGTTTTCAAACATGGCGACCACGATGAAAGATTTCGAAGGCAAAGATGTTGAGTGGAAGACTTAGTCACTTATTGTACAATGTATGAATATAATATTTGATTTTTGAAGAAAAGTTGCTGTCAAATCGTAGAACTTTATAATTATAAACACTGGCTACCAAGAAACCTGTATGTTAATTTGTCCCTAGGGTGGGGCATTTGTGTTAATTTTAAATTGCATCAGTGGGTATTTTGTACCATTATTTTGACCCTATGGTGGGGCATTTGCAACGGTTTTTTTTGCCAAAATGACAAATTCCCGACATATGCCAGGGGGGGATGGTCACTCTTGGAATTGATCGAGACATAATATAAAAGTAGATTCCAACCTTTTTAACATTTCGTGAAATTTTCTCACCATCAATACCGAGATCTTCAAGTTCTTTTCTTGATTTATCCACTCCTAAAAGCACACGGGCAACTTGTTTGTCCCACTCTGAATCCATTGTTCTGAGGAGATTTTGAACAAAGGGTTTATCTAAGTAAATTCTGGAGGGAAGCTCTTCGTCGATTTTCTTACATAGGGTATCAAGAAACAACTCCATATCAACTTCATCTGGTCGTAAAACGATAAATTTTCCATTTCTTTCTTCATGGGTGATGATATATACACAGAGACCCCACTGTTCATGCAAAAGAGCATATTGAAATTTGTCCTTGTCCGTATTCAAATAAGGTGGTCCTACATCTTCAAAACAATCAAAAAATGCTTCCAAGGCATCACTAAATGGTAGAAAACTCATCGTGTGTTCCTTGCCATCCGTGCCAATTGCATCCGCAGTCAACAAATCCCATACTGAAAGCAGTCCATTGATGCGATGCCTTTTCTTGTTATTTGTAGTACTGCTGATATTCTTTTTGGCATCAGCTAAAAGGCGTTCAAGTTTACTCCGGTTCTCTCTGATGCTGCAAGTTTGTTGGGATTTGAGAACTCGTTTTGAATATCTAGAATTTACAATTAATTCTTGTCGTGCAGTGTTTTTTCCTCTCCGTCTTGATAAATCTAGCAACGCTGCCATGTTTCATTCTCGTTTCGACTTTCGACTACACACTACCATACGATGACTACATACCACACGAATTTCGCGGGATTATTTGAATTTTTACGGGAAATTTTTTACGGTCGGCGTATTTACTCTGGGCGCAAAAAATACAAATTTCAAAATGGCTGCGGATATGGAAAACAGATTTTCTTTGTGGTTAAAATCTATTGGTTTGCTAAAGTATTCTGAACAGTTTGTTGCGAATGGGTACGACGACTTAGATTTATTGACTTCGATGGATACGGACGAGTTAAAATCTATGATCGAGATATTGGGAATCGGCATGAAAGGCCATATTCTGAAACTTAAAAAATCGATACATGCTTTACAGAATCCCTCTACTGGCTCTACAAACAACAGTGTATTAAAGGAGAGAAAACCAACAGAGAAGAAACCAATGCAAACTCGTAAGTATAGTCTTTTATAATGCTGGTAAAATTTGAATTGCAAATTTCCAAACTGATGCATGTATTATACTATTATTATGATAATTTATTAATTTTCGGCATTTTGTCCCTTCTTCACAGAAATTGCATTTTCTGGTGGAAAGTTTCAGCTGAAAACGATTGGATGTATTAAAGACGACAAGCCATGGAAAGTCTTTCTTAACCCAAACGCCAAAACAGAGAAAATGAAATACTTTAACAGCATTACTGAAGAAATCTATAATTCTGCATATGTTTCCAAACAGAGCCAGTTCATTTCCTATTTGAATGGACAAAGGCAGTTCAGATGGGATGTCAAACAAAATATTACCAAATTGGAGTCAGTTATACGGTCATATGAGGAAGGTGTCATACCAAAAGAAAATATCTTTTTTAGACAGTACCTTACTCCCCCATTTGATTGCAGCCTAAAAGATGTAAGCTTTGCAAATAGATCCCTAAAGCATATCATTGCAACCAAAAAACAGCTGAGGATATTCTAGAGTTATTACAAAAGCGAAAGGTTCAACTCTTTGACAGCCAAATGGAAGTTCATAAATGGGCAGCCAATGAATATAATGTCATTACTGATTTCATAGCAACCATAACACCGATTCAACAGAAGTTGATATCTTATGAGAATGAATTGTGTTATGCAGCATCAATCCTTGAAAAGAAATATGGCAGTGCCACATTGTCAAATTTTGAAGTTAAACGCCAAAAGAAACGCCAGAAGGAACAGAAAAGCAAGAACAAGAAAAAAAGAAAAATCTCATTGTTGCGAAGTTCAAGAGCTTTGTTGTCAAAAAGTAATTTTAATCAAGAAGAAATTGATGAGATATGCCCTAATGTATTTGGTACTAAGAGCACCAAAGTATCAGTCCAAATGATATCACCAAAATAGAAAATATCAAAGGAAAGAAGAAGAGCATAGCATATTTATATTCTATTGGTGCACTCAGTGAAGAACTGGAAATTAATAGCAGTGATGAGAGTGAGAACACAGATTCTGAGGACACAGATACTGATAACTTAGATAAGTGCAACTGCATACTTTACTCAGAAATTTTACTACTCGTTGTGTTAACATTTAAAGTAATATAGGTTGAGATTTAATAGATTTGCCCTAGTCTCTCTCATGATCTATCCAGTAAATACTTAGGTCAGTACTGGATAAAACCCAAAGACAGGGAGAGAGACTTAGAGCAAGTATGGGTAATAGAGTTAAACATTAATATATATTACGAATTGTTGAAATATAAACTTCATGCTGTTTGACAGATTGTGTGTTTTAGCATAATATCCACTGTGGACTTACTATATTTGGCATATAGGCTAATTTTTTTTTACCCAACCCATGAGCTAGTCAAAAAATTGATTACCCAACCCATATATCTTCGGTACCAACCCCAGGCATAAATAATGAACGGTCCCTTACGGCTTTTTTCGAAAATATTATCTATAAATTAAAACTGAGCTTGAAAGTTGAAATAATACTTCTGAGAAAACATGATATTTAAAGCAAAAGATGCTGGAGTCAATCGGAAAAGGAAACCTTTGTATTATTGTCGTAGTTTGTATGGCCAAAACAAACAACCAACAAGCACTGAACTATATAACATGGAAGTCTGACTCGAGCTCAAAAAGTGAAGCCAACATGGCGGAAATTGAAGCCATTCTTGCGCGTCATTCTCAGTCCCCTTATGTGCGCGGTCAACTAAAGTTTTATATTTTTCTTTACTTTCCGAGTAAAAATCTGGTGAAAAACAGACGAAATTTGAATGAAAAGTTGAATTCTGGTGTTTTGTTTGGGTTCGGTTTTAATTTTAATTATTATTTATTTAAAAGATGCGATATTTGAGTGGAAGGAAAGCAAAATAGCGCGGGATTGCTGTTTTTGTAAATGACAATGAGTGACAAAACAAAACACAAAGTCACTCAATCTTTCAAAATATCTGTATTGCCCCTATTGACAAGGATTTCACACACATAAATAACTCATTAAAATATACAGTTTAAGTTTATAAGGCAATCATGAAAGTGATTTTAATAAATAAAAAATAAAAAAACAACATTTTCTTACATGTATGGAATTAAATTGGCTAAAAACTGCCTCGAAAACTGCAGTTAAAAAGCAGTTTTAGGTCAGGAAAACAGACTAAAATAAGCTAAATAATGGTGTGAAAACTGAAAAGCACCATAGAAACAAGAAAATGAAACAACCAAAGCAAAAATAAATTCCCAATTTATAAAAATACAGATTTTATATCAAAAAAACAAAAAAAGTTTGAAATTAGGAATTGTTGAATTCGCAACGAAACATACAGATTTACTCACACATACAGTGGGAAAATGCAGTAGACAGATCGATTAGATGAAGGAAATCAGGTTTACATGAAATAAATAAAGTTTATTTCCTTTTTTGCTCTTCTAAAATGAAGAAAAACACAACCCGAGAGTAGAGGACCCATCACTTCCCGCCATGAAAATACAAAAAATGTTTGACCGCGCGGGTAGGAGACTGAGAATGACGCGCAAGAATGGCTTCAAAATCCGCCATCTTTGGCTTCACTTTTTGATTACGTCAATGACTGAAGTCAGCCTTCCATGTATATAGTTCACTGCCAACAAGGTGCAAAACCTTTACCACACCAAAATCTTAAGAAATATGAAATTATTGTTGAAGAAATAAGATTACACACAGGTAATGTAGCCTCCATTTTTTAAACTTGTAAGCTCCTTGCAGAATGTCATGGAGCCACAGGCATAGTTCATATTTTTCCGTACGAATCAATAACATTTGACGTTTTCTTGTGATTTTTGCATGACCTCTTGTTTTCTTTCATATTGATGTCAAATTCCAAAAATTATACTTTCATTCCAGAGTTGTCTTGATTTCTCTCGGAATAACCTATATATTGACGTTAACATCTCAGTATAATACTGTTTTTCGCTTCTGGATAAACAACATGATCGCTACGTTAATTGTCATATCACCAAGGGCGTCAATCCATCCCAACAAGTGGAGAGGGAGGGGGGACTCCAAATTAGGAAGGTCCGGAGATATGCTACCCGAAATTTGTTTTAAAATTTGGTACACTGAAATGGCATTTCCAGCGTTTTGGAGGCACTTGTAAAGTTATAGTACAATGTGCATGATCTTAAATTCATTTTTAACCATGTGAGAAATCCACTAAAAACAATTAGGTTGCGCAAGTGTGATAAAGCACATCAAAGTTGTTAATTATATTAGTTGTTAGTTATTCATTTGGTTAGATTGCAATGCTATGTCTACAACTTTTAATTGGAGTCACAGGCGAGAAACTACAAAAATGCAATTGTTTAAGCGTAATATTTTACTATATTTGAACTTAATTCTTTTTGAAAATGGTAAAATAAAACTTAGTCTTAAATCTTAATTTAGTCGTCAAATTAGTAAATTACGATAAAATCCATTACTCATTAGCTCAATAATTGATGTATAATAGTTTAAAATATATTATCACCTTCTTTACTGTAAATATACATATATAGTATCTTCCACTTCTATTATATATAATAGACCTCTCCAGTAATTACGTCACTACTACACTGTTTTCAACTTAGGACCACCTTAAATGGAATGCATTTTAAGTTTGTTATTCAGAGAAGCACAACACCCTTCGTCAACACATGCACAAAAAAGAATTTTGGATTTTGACTATTAAATGTGGAAATAACATTAAAGACGAAAACGAGGCTAAGGGGCCTCATTTTTTAACAGTTAGGATAATTGTATATATATATATATATATATATATATATATATATATATATATATATATATATATATATATATATATATATATATATATATATATATATGTATATTATTATTATATTATTATTATATTATTATTATTATTATTATAACATGCATGTGATTTCTTGATATCAACATTCAAATATAATGCAGCATATATACTGATCATACGTTTATCACAAAATCATAGTGAAGCACGCAGAAGTATTATTATGGTACTTACCACCGTTTTCCATATCACAATATACAGGTAAAACGTGATGGGCATCTATAGAAAATACGGTCAAGTTTCACGAGGTTGGTTAAGTTTGATTGGTATAAATTATCCATTCAATTAGATCTTGAGAGTCTGCACCCTAACGCGGGCTCTGGATAGACAACTTGCATGTTATAGATGTTACAGTAGACTAAATTTTGATCTAGGCAAAAAAGTAAGTTGCCGTAAAGAACTTATTAAAGTCGGTAACATTGCAAAATTTGGTTACGAAATGTTGTGGGCGACGGAGATTATAGCCTTGCGAAGCTTGCACATTTTGTACTATATTTGTATATTACGTGGGGAAATTGTTACCATTTTTGAGCCGAAAATTAAATGGTAACAATTTTCGCATGTAATACAAACATACAAAATTTGCAAACTTTGCCGGGCTATATTTTCCAAGCTTTAGGCTACAACTTACATTTCGCAACCACTATTTTGCGATTTTACTAGTAGTTTCATTAATTAAGTTCTTTATAGCTGTGGTGTTTGATTTCCTTCTCTTTACTTAGATTAAAATTTAATCTAACATGCAAGTTGTCCATTGTAAATATGATGCTTATAATCCAACAATTAATCACTCTGATCCCAATCCTCGCCTTGCCACGTATAACTGCGTAATTCTATAACCACAGCCCTGACCCTAACTTCATGCATAGATCTAGCTGATATCGATCTTATCGCAATTACAATCCCACACATTCCCACTGATACCAACTCATGAACCTAAACCTGAGCTGAGTAATTTTTGGGTCAGAGGAGAGGGGTACCATGCAGATTGGAGGTGTTTTTATGTTAGAAGGATCCTGATTGCACGCCTGTCTCTATAATACCGTCTGATATACAGGCTACGTTAAAAACATTGTATTGTTGTAAAGGTAACTGATTTTCTTTGTGGCACGATTTCCTTAATTTTGGTAAAAAATTGATTATACTTTCACAAAAAATGCAGATATAGTGCTTTGCTATATATTGATGGTAACACTGCAAGCTATCCCACATTGTTATTGTTCTAACGACGCTGTGATCTTCCGCAAAAGGCGAACACATTTGTGGGGTGTGGTGAAAACAAGAGATTTTTTCCATGATTATATAATTTCTCACTTCTTCTCAGAGTGATCCAATAAGTACCATCATGAGAGTCGTCCGCACATCTTTGTTTCAGAATATCTTCACAAGACATTCCAGGATTTTCTTTTGATCCATACTAAGAATAGAATAAAATTATTATTTATAAAACAAATGTCATGCAGTGTCGAGATTCCAATTTGAGGTATAATGTATATAAATATGATGTAAATATGAAGTAATATTTTCACATGGGAAACTAATTATAACATATGAACTTTTATACTTCCAATATGAAAAAATATGTGAAACTCAAATTGCATATATGTGTTAAATTGACATGTAAAACTATAGACTGCGAGCAGTCTGACAACACATCAAGAAACGAAATACGCGTTGCTCAACGGGCATGTTGCAAAACATGGACTGGACCATGGACTGGAACATGGACTTCTAAAACATATGAACTTGTAAAACATATGAACTTGTAAAACATGGAATCGTAAAACATGGACTTGTAAAACATGGACTTGTAAAACATGGACTTGTAAAACATGGACTTGTAAAACATGGACTTGTAAAACATGGACTTGTAAAACATGGACTTGTAAAACATGGACTTGTAAAACATGGACTTGTAAAACATGGACTTGTAAAACTTGGACTTGTAACACATGGACTTGTAAAACATGGACTTGTAAAACATGGGCTTGTAAAACATGGACGTGTAAAACTTGGACTTGTAAAACATGGAGCGAATTTATTATCGATGATATGTTTCTCTATATGTACACCTATATAGAGAAGCAGGTACGTAAAAATGCACGAATTATTCTGCTGTGCTCGCTTGC